TGATTTCTCTGCATTGCTAACAAAATAGTAACTCGTCTCGAGAGAAGAAGAATGAATACTTATTAAGAAATAAAGATACAGAAACTAGGAAACAAACTACGCTAACTCAAACCACCATAACACCACACCAGATTATAACACCAAAAACTCCGAAACTGAAATGAATGATAGAATATAAGGAATTAATCAAAGGTTCACGTAGGTCCGCATTGGTTCGCAGCGTCATTCTCACTCACAGCCTCTTGAAGCGCTCTCAAATATTGAGTGTTCAGCTGATTTGCGGAGTAAATCAGAGAGTATGTACTCTAAAGTAAAATAACCCTCTAGAAGCATGGTGAAACGCTCATATTCTACTCGAGAGTTACTATCTTGGAGTAAATGGTTACTCTCGGGTAACTACTCTCTACTTTACTCGGCTGTTGGTGAAACCGGCCCTAAGAGCAATGAACTGATCCCCGGCGGACCCCGTTTTTTGAACTGGCGAGTGCACGATAGCCTGTCGCCAAGGCGGGTACGGACAGATCTTGAGGAAAGAAAAGCTGCTAAAAGCAATGGAAGCAGACCTGAGACCTGAAGAACGTTAAGTGCGAAGAATGTCGTATGTTGAAGTGGCGTAAGCTATCTCTATATCGAACAAAACTAATACCAGGTGTTGCAGCACGAACGAAGTGGATATCCGCGGGGCGAGAATGACTCTTTACCCTATGCTTCCTGAAAACACATTGAATGGGTGTAAATGTTTGATCCAGGAGGCAAACCAGACGTGTGATTACCATTCACTCTAAAAACTTGCAAACACAGCTTGTGCGTACCCTATTGCGCGAGCGAGCAGAGGAAAATTCATGAGAATGAGACATAGTAACCTTCCACCAGGAGACTCGAGAAAAATCTAATCTGTAATTATCAATTCTTTAGGTTTTGAGAAAGCGAGGAGAGTGGTTTAAGGATTTGGAGATTGCCAGAGGCCAACTTCCCCATTACGTCTTCTGGAGAGGAGCAAAGATTCGCATTTACCAGAAGTCCAGAAACAATCAGAAGGGGAAGTCTTCCTCCGATCTGTCGCACCTTTCGGGGGGGAGGGGAATGGTACGAAAGTGAATATAGGCTCTCCTGGGAGCGGCCTTACTTCCTCGTATGACCAATCAAGCTCTGGTTCGGGATCTTTCACCCAGGGCTGGCAACCTCCTGACATCGGGCAGTGCGCCCCTCCGATCACGCAACGCTGTGCAACGTTTACATGCATTTACCAGTATACATTAAGGCTATTGTATATAAAAAATGCAAAGATTTTTATAGCATTCAGGAATACCTCAATGACTAACATGTGCAATATGATTTCAGGTGCTGCACTAGGACTAGGTGTAGAAATAGGAAAAAATCGGCCCATTATCTGCCTCCTCCCCATTTCAAGATTTTATCAAGGAATAAACCATATGTAGCTGTTACCATAATTGTTATCATGTACTGTTAGTATACTATTATTATTATTATTATTATTATTATTATTATTATTATTATTATTAATTTTGTACTAAGCAAGATCATACGACATTGTGTACAAATTTGGGGCAATGCACGATAGTTTGTAATATAAAAATTCTTGAACAGAATAAGAATTCCATGAGAAACAACTGCTAGCCAACTCCATCAGGAACCATCATGAAACCAACTCCATCAGGACAACAAATACCTGCATTTAATTCAACATTATAGTGATGATACCTTGAAGATTTCACCCACATACAGTTATCAAACTACGAAATCAAAGTATTATGTTCCACATTTATATATAACAGCTACGATGAAAAATGGCTAAGGCTACCAAACTTTAATGCAATTCCACCATATATAAATTACAATGAAAAGTGAAAAACTTCTCTATGGATATTAAAGATTGGCTACAAACATAGATGTAATTAGGTTAGAAAAATACTAAATACAACTGTAAAATATATACTAACACAACAATAACAAATATTCAACTCTGCACTGACTGCCACACCACCATTGAAAAAATAAAGTAAATAAATAACAAATTGAAATTTAAGATACGTGTAAAATGATATTGTACAATGTTGTAAATGTATGGGGTTTGAATAAATATACATAATAAAATAATGGTAATACTGCAATTGATATTAAAAGTTGTAGGACTTATTCTTGAGATTTTCAGGATGAAATAAAATTTCACTTGCAGTTGATTTCTGTTGTTATTATGTCAGCATATTACAATCCAAGATACAATAAGATATAAATAGCTAAAATTATGCTACTTTCTTCTGGAATATTTCTATCCCACACCCACCAAATATCAGGTTGCCATAAGGACAATGGCATTCTGGACATTCAAAATATATTTCAGAGCAAATTTTTATACAACTAAATAATATATAAGATAAATCATGTAACAAGTAAATAGTAAATCTCAAGTAAAAAAGTAAATAGAAAATGAAAAAACATTACATAGCACCCTTTTATGAATAACAGGGTGACCACTCTCTAGGATGAATTTCCCGGACTTTGCAGGTAATTTCCTCATTTTCCATGATAAAATTTGTGAAGTATTTCAGAGTAGTGAAATAAAATATTAAATTAAGCATGAATTTTATCGATATTAAAACACAAAAGTTTACTGAGCCTTTGCATTCTAGATTCTGTTACACTATTACATTATTACAGACAAATGCAGTACCTTTATTTTTCAGCTCGCAGATTGTACGATAAAAAGACAATAACAATATTTGTTTAACAAAGAAATTAGCTGCCTGCTTTCTCTTATGTAGCACATACTGATGTAGTTCACAAGAAGTCCCAAAACACAGACTTTTTGTAGGACTGTGAGGAATTATAACCGAGTGTAGAAGTTTAGCACATTTGCTAGAAACATAGGAAAATCTGGCGAGACACATGTTGATATTCAGGACATTTCCTGCTTTTTCAGGTCATATAGCAACCCTAATTAAATGCCTATATTGATGTGTACCTGTGGCTGGGATTATTCATTTAAAAATAATAAAACAGTTTTCCAGCATTACCGACTGTGTGTACTGATTAGAAAGTATGCTTGCAAAAATTAAGCATCTTTAAAGAATTTGTTGTACGAGATACAGTAGTTTTTCAAATTCCAATTTACAAAAGTTTTCTTTCACACAAAGAAACAATTTCATAATGGTAAGAAGCTATTATTATTATATTGAGTTCTCTCATATGAATATATAACTACAAGATTGTTAGAATACATGTTCCAAGTAAATGAGTATTTAAGATACAACAAGGAAAGGTTTAAAAAATTTCACATCGCAATGATTCTTATGATAATAGTTTAGTTTAGGCAAGACACATTACTTAAGTCAAAAATGCATATAATTTGGACAATTAAACATTCTTCTAAAAGGACACGTTCCAACAACTACAAATGAACACATTGTAAAATATTTGAAGTTAAATATAACACAGAAGATAATATGTTATGTTACATTGGTAATAATAATAATAATAATAATAATAATAATAATAATAATGTGAATGTTCATAATCTTCTGTCAAGACCAGAATCAGATATTTAACAATAATAATTTAAATAAGTATTTTCAAATGTAATACATTATAATTATCACGAGTTATTTAACATCAGCATAAATTAGTTAGGTAAAGTTAACACAGCTTAAAGGTAAGCATAGTACGTAGTGCACAGAATACTTAATCAAGACCTTTGATAGTCAACAGGTCGATCAAATGAACTTCGATCACCATCATTTGAGTATTGCCTGGTGAACTGCAAAATAGTAAGCATGCAATACATCTATTCAATAAAGGAGTGTGAATTATAAAATAAATGTACGTAATTTATTCACATAGATGCAGGTGAAGAAGCAGGTACCTCATGAACAAAATCAAAGCCACAAATTCAGTTGTGTACAATAAAATAGTTCAGTTTTTATTGCCTTTTATACAACAACCCACCTCCCCCAAAAAGTGGTCATTTTTACATTTAAAAACATGAAATTCCACATTTCATTTACCGTACTTATCAATGAAATCTGCCTACTTATACACCTACATTTATATCAAAAACTTTTGTAGCACTACTTCATAATCTACACATTGCATAAGTACATTGCAAATGAAAGAATTAAGTTATCAATGAAAACTCAATTAGCCTATTTAAAATTTTTGAATCATAAACATCCTAAAATGAAAATAATACATCTAATCATCACACATATTTTTGTATGGAAATTAAACACACTGTCATATATTGTTTCATAATTTTAGTGACACTGAGTTTATTATATATTATTTATTTATATATATATTTTTAGGTGGTATTACACACACACACACACACACATTATATATATATATATATATATATATATATAGAGACACACACACACACATTTTTAAAATCATTTCGCAATAAATTTTCTACTCTAACAAACTTAAAAATTGGTTGGGAGTCTCTCAGTGGGTAATAAACTCAGTGTCACTAAAATTATGAAACAAGCCACCACACACAAGATGACTTGAGAATTTTGATATATTATTCTGTTTCAATTCCCTGGAGGAAGAGGAAATTTTAACAATTAACTTAGATAAAAGGGACCTCATATACTGAAAAGTAAATGAGAGCTTGAGATACATGCTCATATACTTTTTGCCTATATTTACATCATCGTTGAGGACATTAAATACTGACACATGCATGTCAGACATGGAGACCCTATGGCATCTATTATTATGAATTCTCGTTCTGTCACTTAGCTACTAAATATTCAAAAGGAGGGTACAGTTATATAACCACAAGGGCCACAAAAAAACATTCCATAGCTATTAAGTAATCATGATTAGTAGGCATGACCGTGTCTCACTGTCGGGGCGTTAACATTTAAAAATGAGAGTATCTTTGCCAACTCTCTCTCTCTACATGCATGTCACTCAAACATATATTGGAATATATTGATTTTAAATGTTTATGTATTAATGAAAGATTTACAAACCTTGATGGTGTCAAAAGGATGGCCGGTTATTACAGTACATACTCCACCAAACCCACCGGACACGAAATATTTAATAGGACTAGTTTTCTTTTCAGACATTGTGGAAATTCAATAATTGTGCGATGTCGACAGACCAAGTGGAATTAACTAACACACCTTGCTACAGGTCCTTAAGTCACGCACGTCCCACTATTCACTCGCTCACACGCACTCACTCAACACTGCTCAACACTGATGAACTAAGCGCACGGACAGAGCACGCGCACTTGTCTATGCCTGAATCTTTATATAATATCTGTGCCTGGTGGTACCCACGAACCCGCAAAGGAACAGCGTTCCGTACCAGCAAAGACGGGAACTACTACGATCGTGGCGTAGAGAACGCAAGGGAAAAGAACTAAGCTGCGAGGCCTGTGATTTGAAGTTCATTTTCAACCCTCTTTCAATATAAATTTATATTATAAATTTCAATATAAATTTATATTATAAATTTCAACATAAATTTATATTGTAAATTTCAATATATATTTGTATTATAATATTATTTTAAAAGTTTACAAATTGAAATTGGAAATGAAGGAAAGATTACAAGGAGAAATGACATAAAACGTGAAAAGTTTTGGCAGAATGTAAAACACATATTAGACATAAATTTAGTCACAAATTAAATTGTTAAATATTGCTAATAACACTGATCAACAATGTGAATGTTAATTAAATAATTTTAGCAGATTCGTATGCATTTGCGTCTTTCAAACCAAAAACTGAAGCCCAAAATTTGCCACCATGAACACTTTTTTTGTAAAAAAAATGATTTTATCTTTATTAACTCAGGTTGCTAAACGTACTGGTTCCAAGAAAATCGTTCTTTTTCGTTGTGTAACAATTCATTTATTTCTCTATATTTAACCTCCCGGACATTCCCGCCCAGTCATTGTTTTCTCCAACAGCAGATAAGGAAGAAGATTCTGTACAGATAGTGTCTTTTTATGAAGCACTAGTGACATTTTTAAAATTTCCTCAAAAATGGCACATACTTTTTCTATACATTTTTTTTACAGAATAGAGTAAAATACACTTATAAAGATAGCATAGGTCCATTTTTCACTGTTAAATCTAATTTTCGAAAATTTCAAAAATTAGAAATATTTTCGGCTTATTCCAACTATTACAAAATTGAAGATAGAGATTTTTCCTTCAAGTAATTATTTACTTCGTAGTTACTTCTTTTATGAAGGTCATATATTTTTTAAAAAAATTTTAGTTGTTTTAGCGCAATATTGTGTGCAATATGTGCAATATCAAAAATACCAAAAATAAGATTTTCACAAAACCGGCTCCAATTTTTCTTGGAACGTTTGTTAGGGATTAGTGCTAAACGTATTCTATAAGATAACATAAACGTCATTCTAGGAAACTCGTTTTCTGTGAAAATGAGGTCAATGTTCCGCATTTAAGAAACGCTCAAACGCCATTTTCTCAAAAAACGGCTCCAAATTTTGTCTTTTTTCTGCAGAAAAATTATTTTTGCCGGGCCTTGGTAACGAAAAAGTGGATAAATTCTGTTGCTATGTATAGTAAATTTCTTCCCTAACAAGTGGTGTTGCCAGAATCCATGTTTAGTGGGTCTTTAATATCGAAAACTCGATTCACGGCAAAACATCTGTCTGTCCGTCCGCCCATCCGTCTGTGGTCAACGCTAGCGCCTAAACATTTCAATAGATTTTATCCAAATTTATATTCCCTGATCGATCTTAACGAACCCGAGGCTTTGAGAGTTTCAAAAATATATTTTGGTTTTTGAGGGAACTTTACATGAAGCTTCAAAAACATTTGAAAATTCTCTTAAAAATGCCTCCTAATTTTTCGATTAAGCTTTGTTCTCGGATAGCGTAAAGGGCTCTTAAGAGAGTGAAAGGAACCTTAAGGGCATATCTCACAATCTTTAAAATCCCACATATTTTGAAAAATGCAAAAGTGCAATTTTTTGGGCGTCTTCCTACAACTATAATATTAAAGATAGAGATTTTGTCTCCCAACAAAATCTGTTATATACCGACAGATCTTAATATAAGTCCACATTTAATTTTTCGAAAATAGGAGTAGTTTAATGTAAATTCGTGCGAAATATAGGCCATTAAAAAATTGATATTTTTTCTAAAAAATACTCCGATTTTTTCTTTCAGTTTTCTCCTCGTATATATCAACGGACGTTAAAAAATATGACGCTTGTCCCATTATCTGCAAACTCTCCGTATTTTCGAAAATTTCAAAAAGTTAACCTTTTAAAACTACAAAATTGATAGCGATTTTGCCTTAAAGTATTTTCTAAAAAATTACTCATTAAAAAGATCATGTATTTGTTTTAAAAAAACGAGTAGATTTCACGTGATTTATGCTTGGAATTTATGCAATTTCGAAAACATTATTTTCTGAAAAACCGCTCTAATACTTTTTTCACGCATAGAAGAAGGGACGCTTAAAAATGCTGTGGGTCTCATTTTTGATGTACTCTCTGAATTTTCGAAAATTGCAAAATTAGAAATAATGCGAGGAAGTATGTGTTGTTGCAACGCCACTAGTTCATTATAACGGACACAACGCAAGACGTATCAAAAGTCGACCAATTAAATCAAATTTTACGATATTTACCCATCGAGAAAAATGAATCCGGTAAACGGATTAAAATAAAAATTAAGGAATCATAAGATTAAACAGAGTCGAAGAACAATCAACACGTGGAGGGGTGCATTTTGATATCGTAGAGAACATAAAAGAACAAGGCATTGATTTATCTAAATGTAAAAGCCAAATAGATAATGGCACAGCAGTTATGAGTGGAATGTATAAGGTGTTCAGAAAAAAAATAATGAAGTTGACAATGCATTGCTTGTTCACTGAGCTGCTCATAATGTAAATCGTATGCTTAATGATGCCGTGAACGGAATATTAGAAGTTCAGACATTTTACTATGCGAGAAGAAATTATGTTTTCTCTTGTCATAGTGTAGACTCAGTGTAACATATCAAACATGATGGATTAAGAGAGAAAGTGAAATAATCTTACATTAAAACGACTCTGATTTACAAGATGGTAATCGCAGAACGATTTCTGAATAGCTATATAATATTATAATATTTTGCAAACTTTAACAAAAATTATATTTTCTAAAAAAACTTCTGAAACTAATATAAGCTTGTACCTTAAAAAAATAAATCGAACATTTTGATATTGTTTCTCATGTAAAACAGAATTCCAAAAATCCTCGTACTAACATCAACCAATTCTGTTTCGAAATATCTTCAAAGCCATGATATGGAAACGAATGAAGTAAACTAAACATTTTGGTGAAATTTGCTAGAACCCACGACTAGCTTATGGCCAACAAAAATACAAACTTAATATTTACTATGGATACCTAGATATTGCCATTAACCAGTTGGAGCTACGATTTGTTGGATTAAAAAATACAGTAGCAATTTTAAAAGTGATTCAACCACAAGTTTTAATAGCTCCTTGGTACGATGTAATTTACGAAGAAGCAAAAAAAATTCAATCAAAACACCCTGCACATGTTTTGGAAAACTTGTCTCAGTTATTGCTTTTGAGCATTTGTTTAAAAAGTCAAATTTCAGAACTAAGATCTGTAAAAGACCTTGAAAACGTATTAATAACTGAATAATGCTCATTATTTAAAAAATCCTTATGTGAACGAGAGTACAGTATTATCATTATTTTTGACAATTTCTGTCAGGCTCGTCAGAGCCGAAAGAACGTTTTCAAAATAAACGCTAATTAAAAATTATTTATGAAGTACAATGGCACAAAACTGAATAATTTAAGTTTTTTATCAACTGAGCGCGAAAAAACGATCTGGTTGAAAAATAATATTTCTACTACTATTGTAGAATTTGTAAATGCGAAGAAAAGACCAAAATTTAAATTTAAAATTATATCATGAAATTGCAAAAATTATTTTTTTTCTGATATCTCATTATAATACTTATATAAATTCAGTTTATAATCGCAAAATTAAATGAATGCCATGTCTTCAACTAGTGGGCCCCTCTTCGATTGCACTTGCGCCACTGCTTCTAATGAAGGTTTGCTGTGAAAAATATTCTAATTTCGCAATTACAGTGACACTTAAACGGCATTTTCTTTAAAACGGTTTCAAATTATTCAACGCAAATCTCCATATAAGATGAGGTTCAATTCCTCTATAATATTTGTAAAGTAATATTTCGGTTCTACCATTAGTAAACCAAAAAATTGAGAAAATTAAAAAATATGTATTTTGGGTGTCGATACATGGCAGCTGGCAAGAGGATGGGGAAGATCGAAAAGCGAGCCGACACCAAAGAAATTAGGAAACTAATAAGCACGATAATGTCTGTGCCATTCTGTAGCAACTCTAGTTTTCAGCACAGTTTACAAAGGTTAAACTGAATGCGATTGTGGAAGAGGTTGGTTTCTGGGCAAGTGTATGTGTTAAGTTTGCTAGTTTTTGAGTAAGAGACTATGGGTCTAATGGGGGTATTTGCTTTGTGCAATTTAGGAAGATCATAGAGTCTAGGCTCTAGGAGGAGAAGGGTTAGATTGTATGCATTGTTTATGATAGGAAGACAGGGCTTGCGAATTGTCAACTTCTTGTTTAAGATGGACAAGATACTTCTTGGACCTTGTTGTAGTTCAGAAATTCAGTTGCATTAATTTTGAAAAATGTCTAAGTAGGCCAAAATGGTTTTCTTACAATGGTACAAAAAAGTTGATTTTCTTTGAGTGGGGCACTAGTTTTATCAGCTCATTTTTAATACCTTAATAAGTTACTGTGGGTTTGTGGAGATGTGGGCTAAACATTGTTTTTGGCGTTTCTAATTAAAAAACCGGGTACTTAAGCCCCACGGCCGGGTACTTAAGCCCCTCGGCTCGCCCGACCCCGCGTAGTCGTTTTTGTGGCTTCCATCCAGCAGGTAAGGAACGGCTCAACTTACATTTCTATATTTTTTTGTATAAAAAATTTTACGTGTCCTATTTCTATTTCATTCGCTTTTCTTTAGTCTTAACCCCCCCCCCACTTTTTTCTTTCTCCCGTTTTCTAGAATGTTAAATATATTTTCCAAAAAAATTGTAAATTATTTGTAACCTTTATCATAATCTTGTTGTTAATTCAAAGGAATATTCACGTTTTAATGTTTTTTTTTCTTGTATCAGACAACTAATGATGATGGCTAAGCCATCGAAAGCTGCTTTTGCATTAAATAATATTGTTGGCAATGACGTCTTTAATTATTTTATGAAAAATGTCAAAGATATCACACCACAACACCTATATGTTTCTAATTAACAC